AAAATCTGAAATGGTATCATGTAAAAATTGAGAATTGTAAATTACATTATTCATCCATCAAAAAGAATTCATGTCGTAGCCTTGTTAAGCACACGAATTCTTCTGGTCGGATTTGCACCGTTCCCGTGAACCATCTCCACCCATTCAACCGCCGTTTCAGGCCTGATCTAGCCAGATTCCGGCACCACCGAACCCCCCAACACTTCCATCTGAATCCTCACATCACGCTCACCAAAACCCCTCTCTTTTATTCTCTAATACCTCCAATTCCACTCATCTTTTCGCATTTCAAGTCTCTGCAAATCGTCGGATTTCCTTAGTGTTGATCTGTGGTTTCCTGTTTGAAGTCTGTTGTGTGTAATTACCTAGTCGTCGGTGATTCTCCATCGTTTCCAACCTTCCCATAGCCACCCGCCCACCACCTGTTTGACAAAATTCCTCACCCAAAGCCACCACCCAACTCTCCCAAAACATTTATCCATAAATATGATTTCTTCCTCAAAGCCATCAGAATAAATCTAACCTTGTGAACAATACCACTATCCTACTCTCAAATTTACGAGAAGAATAAATAATTTAAAAAATAAAATGGGAGATGTTAATTCTTTTTTAATAGAGAATTTACATAGAACAGATGGTGTGCATAGTAGGAATCTATTACAAAGACTTGGAATGCGGAGGTGGCGGAGTTAAAGATGAATTTGGGAGAGGAAAGATGAGTGGAATTGGAGGTATTAGAGAATAAAATTCAAAGGTTAAAATCACAGAAAGTCAAGAGCGAGAACAATAAGAGGTTTGTTAGCACAGCATAAAGTCCATTGTGATTTGGGAAGAAATTAGGAAATGATGGGTTGATTGGATTTACTAAACTTCATACTATATTTTATTAATTTGGCTGGATGGTGATAGTGGCTGGGTGGCGATGGCGGTGGCGGCAGTGGTTGGGTGGTTAGAGATGGGGATGAAGTGAATTATTGAAGAATGTGGTGTTATTGAAATAAAATTGAAAATAAGATAGTCATTTTTTATTATGCTAATTTGGGGGTTAAAAGTAATTTATTGATCAAGGGTAATTTGGTAATAGTACTTATTAGATCCCAAAAATGAAAAATGGCGTTGATTTAAAGGGGGAATTTGAAATTTATGAAACCAAGGGTAAGAACTTCTAGATTCGCTAAAACTTAGGGTGGGAACCAAGGGCGGTTGTAGCCCTTGAGCGTAGGCCATATTTGAAAAAAATGTTATTAATATACGGGCTATAAAAAATTGTTAATTAACATATATATTTAGACATATTTTCAAATTTAAAAAAAATAAGAATTATTATACATATTGTATATCTAGATCTATAAAAAAATTTGTTATTAATATATGTATATTCCAAGCCCACATCATATTAAAAGTTTAAAACTCTCTCCAGTGTTTTCCTACACAATTTTACTTATTTTTTTATGATTTTATCCTCAAATTCTTTACTCTCTCTTTCTCTTTCTCATGTTATTCTCTCTTAAAAATTTTAAAGACTGAAATTGTTAAATTTTCATCACTCAAAGTATCATGATTAGCTATATATTTTGTTTTATAGATTTTAGGTATGTGTATTGTTCATTTCAATTTAGTTTATTTAAGGATTGAATCATTTTTTTTCTTTTTGAGGTTTTTTATTCTAATTTGAGAGAAAAAAATATTAATCTTGGGAGTTTATTTTGTATTTTCTGTTTAACAATGAACCTGCTTTCTCAAATTAAAACCTTAACTATATTTTAAAAGACATTATTCTTCATCCTTTACCTACCACTTTTCTATATTTTAAACGTCACCGTTCAGTTATTCAAAATTATTAAAGAAATTTGAATTACTATCTATGTTTATACTAAAAAAATTTCTCCTATTTTATTAAGTTATATTAAAAGCAAAATAACGTTGACTTGATTTAAGTTTTAGTTGACTTTAGCTTAATTAAGCTAAGTTTGACCAACTCTATGAAAATTTATATTATTATATTTGAAAGCCAAAAATAAAAATATTAAAAGAAGGTTTTGTTCAAGGCTTACTCAACACTTTTACTCAAAATTTTACTTCTCATAGATTTATTCAAGTAAGAAAATATTGTGTTAATGTATATTATTTTTTCTCAAATTCTTAATATTATATTATTTTTTTATTAAGATTTGGTGATTTTTTAAAATTTTTACTAATTATTTCGTAAATAATGGCCGAGCCGCGGAGGTCTTCCCTCGACAAAAATCTTGAATCCGCCACTGGTGGGAACATGTGGTTTACTTATTGGCAAATGGCAATCGTATTGCTATCATAGTCTCTCACCCATGTCCCATCCAATCTAATTTTTAGGTCTATATTTTTCTTAAAAATAAAAATAAAAATCTTCAAATTGACTAATATATCACCTCCGTTATCACGTGCATGAAGTTTTATATTATTCCTATTAGTATTTGGCTTCTTCCTCATTTATTACTTGTACGATATATATACAAATTTATAAGAACCAGTTTCACACCTTCAATAAATTGAATCTAAGTAGGTAGAGTAAAGCAGTTTTTGCTTTTTGGAGTAGGATAAAACTCCACTGTTGTCCGTTGAGTGGTAGTTGGTGAAGAGTGCGTGCGGGGCGGGTATCTATGCTAAGTTGAAGGAAAATAAGATACAGATTTTTGTTTCTTTTAATTATTTATTTGTAAATACATTAAAATGTGTGTTTACTACTATTAGGAGAAATTAATTTGGTTAAATAGATTGGTGGCATTTTGTAGTAATGTAATGTCACATGAGTTGCATATGGAATTATGTAAGCAGTTATCGGTTGACAGTCGCAACCGGTGGCCCACATGATGTTATAGTGGAAACAATGTCATCTATCTGAATGAAAATTATTGAAGCAAATTAATACACATTGTTGAAAAATTGATTGGATCGGAATTGGATTTTACATAAAACATTATTAAATTTTATAATTTCTATCACGTGTATTGATTGATGTAACGCTTACTTGAAACATTTATTTATATGACAAGTTAGGTGTTAGAAATTTGACTTTGGATGTCTAATAATATCTACATATGAAAATTATTAATATTATATATATTATTAATGTTAAAAATTCACCAATTTATAAGGTTTTTTTTTCATTTTTTATAATAGTATATAATTGTTTTGGAAATAAAATTATAAATTATATAATTCTTTCAATAACAAAATTGTTTTTTTTATCATTCACAAAAATAGCATATGTCAAAAAAAAAAAAAAAAAAAATTCATATTTTCTAATATTTCCTTTATACTCATCTAAAACATCAAGTTAGGTTAAAATTAAATTATACTCATCTAGAACATCTATAAAATAAATTCAGAGTGAGTGATGCTATTGAACCCCCATGTTTTATATTTTTAAACCCCAATTATTATTAATTTTTTACTTACTAATTTATCCCTATAAGACCTAAAAGGGTTATACGTATCTAAAAATTTTATTTTCTCTTTCAATCATGAACCTTAATTCAATTAATCTTAATTCTATTTTTAAACAATGTGGAAACAAAATTTATGTAATTGAAACTATTATTTGCTTGGTTATTTTCCCTTTTAATTTTTCTTTACTTTTGCATTTATAAGTTAATTGATGCACTCAAATTTTTTAATTGTTATTCTAACAACCTTAGAAGTGAAAGGATTTCATCTATAAACATTACAATTTTTGAAATTTCTATGAAAGATAAAGAATCATGTTAAATTCGCAATGTTTCAGATTAGAAATTTCAATCACCATCACTTGTAGTTTAATTTAATAATTATGAAGGTAGCTCGCCTAAACCTGGATGTTTAATTTAAATTTAATAATATGCATTTAGCTGGTAGATTTTGTGACTAGCACAATATGCACACTAAAAATATTAATTTTTTTGAGCAGCTGGAATGTGCTCAACTACTCGTACTGTATACTAGGAAATAATAAATTTCATTACCACACCAATAATGAAAAGAAAGATTCATTTGTACTAATTGAAGTTAGTTGGGAAGTGACTTACTTTCATTATCATCCTTAGGACCTAACTAGGCTACATCAAATTATATGCCCTTCGTCCTACCAACCCAATATTACAAAATGTGGATTGAGATATTGGAGAGATTTAAAAGAGTACATAAAAATAGTGGTTAATTAACATAATTTCTCAATTTTTGATTTAGTGGGATCGTGATACACCATAAACCAGGTCAAATCTTTCAATCATAAAACTAAATAATGGGATTTTACTTTGACTTCCAATTAGTCTTATAAAATGCTTGAGCTGTTTTATTTGCTTTAAAATTTTCATTTTTGGGTGAAATACTTCAAATAATTTCATAAATATTATATTTAGGATTTGACACTGTGAGCTGCTACCACCCAACTGCCAACGTTGTCAGTTATAAAATTCAAAAAATTAATTTAAATATTCTAATAAATTTAAAATATGATTCCATATTTTGCAATCGTCGAGGACTTTGGCAACAGGCCAATGAGTTTGAGTGTCCTTCAAAATTATTTTTAAAAATTTGTTTCAAGAAAGATAGGATTGTTTGTTAATAAATAAATAAATAAATAAAAAATGTTTTAAACACGTAGATGATACTATATCTTAAAGAGATTTTGTATGGGCTTTGAAAAATTGGACTTTAACTAACAAAGCAGATTTAGTTTGCTCACTTAAAAGAGCATGTTCCTTTCTGTATCATATTCATGTTCATTTTATATCTTTTTTATATTTAATTCATTACAGAGTTTAATCAAAGTTTGAGCCCATCAAGGCCCATCTTTTATATAAATAGTCCAAAGACCGGGCCCAACTTGTTAAATTGCAGCCCAATTTTTTTTTTTTTATCAAAATGTGGGGGACCGAGACTGCAGTCTAACAGTAACAGGACACTTTTTGGTAGATTGGAAATTTGTCATATGGATACTCAAATTAAAGCAGTATTTATATTATCACAACTTGACACATGCAAACATTTTCATAATCAATTATCTTGGCAGTGAAGAACTGCATACATTGATTCTCTTTCTTACACAGATTATTCACTGTATCTGTGAACAAATAAATCAAAAACTGAAGTTTGATCAGAAGAATTGGCTGTGCACAGCTCTATATTTGATAGTCTCTGTATATATAATAAAATAAAAGAATGAAGGAATAATTTTACTAGTTTAGATTTCAATTGTCTTTTGATTAAGAGCCAAGTATCTCCACCTCTCTTTCTCCACAAAATCTGCATCCAAGAACCTTGAAACAAATGCCCAAAGCCTGTATGTATCTTCAAAATTTGTCAAGAATCCCAGTGCAGCTGTTACCACTGATACCCCTCTAGCATTTCTATCTCCTTCTCCACTTCTTCTCTCCAGTACCCTCTCCCTCTCTTCTTCATACTTGTCCGAGAACCATATATTCACTAGAAATCCATTACTTAATGAAATATTGTACCTATCAGCTAGCTTTTGTACCAGTGCAGGATCAACCTTTTCCCCATTCCAATCAAATATATTGAATGCTACAGCCGGACCTCGGTCAAACATTACCTTTGGTCCATAGATTCTGACCAGGGGGAGCCCATGTTCTGAATATGGATGTCGAAGACTCATTAGTGCGTTTACTAACCAGTTTATCAGGTACCTTGCTCTATGACTGATCAGTATTAGGCCTAATGAATCTGCATCATCCAACCCTTTACATTCCAGTTTTGTCTTCCCATCATCAATCATGCCGATTTCTCTGATAAAAGATTGGGTGGATTCATTGGTTGTCTCTAGTTCCACGATTTCAGAAAATGATAACTCCTTATGTTTCACTCTCACATTGGTTCTTTCAGCTTTGTGCAATTCAGATTCTTCAGAAGTAGCCATATTATCTTTCTGTAACTCTAACTTTGAACCTTGTTCCGTTTCTGCATCAGTAAAAGTTGAACCTTCTGGCACTTGAGATAGTCTCATAGCCGGGACAAGACTCACAATCCCAACGTTTGCAGCACCAGTTGAACTCTGCAAGACTGAAGCTCTAGATATCTTGATAAACAAGCAGCCGAACCCGGAAGGATTTTCTCCAAAAATCTTGTAAAAGGAGCAAATGAGGAAGTCAGGCTTAAAAAGGGAGAGGCCTAATGTATCCATGTCCTTAGGCCCCAATGCACTTGCATCAAGCAATACATGCCAACCATTGTCTTGAGCCGAGCTCATCCACAGATAAGAATACCTTGCTCCACTCACTCTTGATTGAAGAGGAAATACAAAAAGTCCCTTTTTTCTGTTCTTGCTCTTGCCCACTAACTTCTTCATCAATTTTTCCGAATGAATTTTCAGATTAGGCCACGAGAACTCCGTGTTCTTGACTCGCGCTCCTCTCTTCTTGGAGCTTTCCACCATGGTTTCTACTGCCTCATTTTCATAATCATAAACAGTGAGTAGATTTTTATTAGAATAAAAGGGATAAGATTCTGCCAGAAGCTTGAAAGCAGATGATTGATTGGCTGTGAACACCATGGTATAATCCTCTTCGGAGATGTTCATAAAAGCCATGATTCTTTTCCGGACTTTGCATTCCAATTCCGATTCTTTACCGCCAAATTGCATTCGAGAATTCAAGTTCACAGACTTGTAGCAAATATCAAAAAAGGGTGGTTCTAATTGAAGTGATGAAGATGATGACGAAGGGGCCTGTAGCTGAGTATAAGAGAAGAGTCCATGTCCAATGTAATCAAAACAAACATGATTCGACAAGGAGAGATGGAAATAATGTTCGGATCGGACTCGATCTGCCTCATCATTCTGGGAATATTGTGGAAATACTTTGGTGAAATTAGAATATGATTCGTGTAAAGACGGCAAAGACTCATGATTGGTGAAATGATCATTTGTTGGGAAAAGAGAACAAGTTGTGGTAACTTTAAACTCTTTTCTTGCAGAAGCTGCCGTTGTTGGAGACTTGGGAGATAGAGAATGAAACTCAGGATGCTCAACAAAAGGATTTGGACAACAACCATTACAGCAGGCTCCTGAGGACTCTCTCGCGCAAGGTGAAGGCATACTGTTTTCCTCCTTTCACCTGATTTATTAGTTTGTATTTTCTTCTTCTATTTCGGTAGAAATCACGTAATAATACTGGTTTTTTCTTTGATTGGCTTAATGTTGTGTGAAAATTCCACGCACATATAAAGGTCGTCATTGACTTTGTCCACCATTAATTACAATGCCAATTTCTTCCATTTGCTTCTACAAAACGTTGGCGGCTGACTTTAGGAATGAAATATCAGTTAATTTCGTCTTAATCGAGTAATTATAAATTATTATCTTCTTAATTACATCATCAAAGTGACTTGATATCTAACTTTAAAGGAAGTGGTGGTAATGGAAAGAGGATAATAATTAGACGATCTGATTGGAAAACAACAAGCAGAAAAGGGCAAGGGAAGCTTTCGAAGTGGCCGGCATTGTTTGGAAACTGTCTTTATGTGACTGATATTCTTATACTTTCCACGTTATTCGAAGAGACTAGTCAATTCAATTGCGCCCACCACTCCACTAGTCGTTTCTGACAAGCAATGCCGTGTGTAATATGTTTGGGAGAAATCTCCTAGACATTTCTAGGTCATGAACTTAGGCTATAGTAGATGTTTCATGCTTGGCAGGCCCAAGACGATTTTTTGTCCATATAGATATTGCTTTCAATTTTTTTATTTTCCATCTTCGTAATTTTATTTATTGTATTTTTTTCAATTTTCATCTTCATACTTTTATTTTTATTTTAATTGCATTTTTTTCATTTTCCATTTTCATGCTTTAATTTTTTTTTACTATATTTTTTAATTTCCCATTTTCATACTTTTATTTTTAATTGTATTTTTTTTCATTTTCCATTTTCACACTTTTATTTTTATTTTTATTGGATTGTTTATTTTCCGTTTTTATTTTTATTGGATTTTTTCATTTTTCATTTTCATACTTTTATTTTCATTTTTTTTTATTATTAATCTAAGAACAAATTCTCCATTTTGATAATTTTATTTGTGGGTTTATTTTTATTATTAATCTGAAAAAATACTCTCCATTTTGATAATTACATTTGTACTTTCTAATCTAAAAATATAACACTTAATTTCTCCCGAATTCTGTTTAATGTAAATGAACCTAGATAATTTTAAATAATTAAGGATGCGTTAGTTTATGAAATACTTTTTTTTTTTCCATTGGAATTTATGAATCGAGTAATCAACCTCAAAAGAAATGAATAATAATTGTTGCAATATAGTTATAACTTTTGTAATAGAAGACAAAAATGTGGCACTTTCTCTTTCTTTCCCTCTCCTTCCTCCTCGTCTAATTCACTCTCACTTTGTTCTAAACTCATTTCGTTCAAATCAAGATTTTTGCTACAAAATTGCAAATAGGAATCCGTTGTTGACATGTTTAATATAAAATTTTTGAGCCAAACAAAGTAAGTGATAATTGGAAAGGGTTTTATCAATTATATAAATGATCAATTTCATTTTATTTTTTCTGTGTCTTCAAACAAATATGTTTTCGTTTAGTTCATTTTTCTATCTTCTAATTTTTTTTTTTTTAAAGAAAAAATAGAAACACATTCATAAAAGAAGACACGCTAAGTCTCTCATAGACTGCCCTAGGTCAAACATATTTATGTACAAGAAAATGACTTGATATCTGAAATTTATTGTCAGCAATCGTTTGGTTCATAGCTGATCCGGAAAGTCATAATACTACCCTTTGCATCAAGCAACACCATCTTTTTGTTTTTGTACATTCTGTTTATCTATTAATTAATAATACTAGTTTCTGCCACTGGATTGCAACCAAAACTAAAGTAGTTAAAACCATTAACAGTAAGTCTTGTGCAAATTTCATTGCATGGTAAGTTGGAATGTGGAAGGATCGTATTAACCCTGAATCAGCTATGAACCCTTGTTATCTACTAACGCTTCAAAGTCCTACTCAAACCCTAATACATCTACTTCATATTCTATCTTTATCCTAATTCACCCAAGACCCTGAATCTTATGTGAATTAGGACTCTCACTTCGACAAAGGTATGTAAAACAAGTCTTTCCTATTTACTAGAAATCAACTATTATGGACTCGGAGTCTTACTAGGATTAGAAGATCATATGTTCACCATATAAGCAGAGGTTGTTATTGTATGTCCTAGGAACCAGTCTTGTTGTCGGTTTCAGGACATTATGTCTTGTGAATGTATTATAAATAAATAAATAAAAAGTGTTCTTATTTCACATGTTGATTACTGCTTCATTTATATTATATTTAATAATGCATGTGAAAAGTCCGGATGACACGGATCTTTAGAAGATCAATCATCGAAGAATTCCTTACGCAAGTAATGTTAATTGGGCAATAACATTGCATAGTAGGCATGTTGAATGTCTCCATTGAATATCATGTGATGGTATTAGTGTGGGTGATTAAAAAAGATATGTCACTAGGCATTAGCATGGATAAACGGTTAGTAAACTGTTTATCGAATACGACCGATTATGATGAATCACACGGACATTAAAAATGTGGTCAATGATGCATCGTAGAATTGTGCTAGTGTACCACTAATCCTTAGACCTGAGACATCACGGTTGGATTCAACATAGGATGCATATGGTTTATATAGTGTATAAGCACGAGACTAATCATGTCTTGTGTAATAAGCCGGTTTAGTCAGATGTTATTCATGTGCAAGGACAAGTGATGGTTAAGATGAGATTCGTTAACTCAAAATAGTTCAATCTCGAGTTTCCAGATGAATGTCAATAAACATTGGAAAAGGGAAATCTTTGGCCAGAGTATAATGAATGTCAGATGAAAAGTAGTTTCATGTTAACAAGTTTCATTGTATCGATTGACAATTCAATTAAAGATTAAGTTAAAGGTTTTGACATACCATGGACCATTCTTAATCGAGATTAGATGACGAAGAGATTTTACTACACAGTACGTACGATCAGAATAAGTTCATTGGAGTTTACACTTTATTTTGGTTTAGGGTTATGGAACATTGTTAGACGTTTACCATAATCAGTGGCAGTTTCAATTATAAAAAGTTATAACGAAACGTATTAGAATCTGATATTAGGCCCACAGCTAGATCATAGTAAACCAAAATGGTCACACATAAAACCAAGCTCAAGGAGAGAGAGTAATACATATCATTGATCAGGTTAATGATGTTCGAACGTAAACAGTTGCGTTCAAATTAATGTATTGATGAGAAATGATTATCCATTAATATATAGCACTAACCAAGGGTAATAAGGATTTATTAAATATTATTATTGAATCGGATTCAATAATTGGGACAAAAGTACATTGGTTTTATTCTAAAGAGTTAGAATATTTAATGGGCTTATTATGAATTAATCATAAAACCAAGGACTTAACATAAATGCCATTTTTCCAAGATTAATTTTAAATTGTTTGAGGATTTCCCAAGACAATTTAAAATTACACTGTGTGCCCATGATATATAAACCAAGTGTTATACCATTTTCATTGATTTAAAAAATTGAAACAAAAATCACTCTCTCATTTTCTCTCACTTTCTCGACTCTCTCTTCCTTGGCTTGTGTGGATCACATTTTGAAATTCTTCAATCTCATGAGAAAAATTAAAACTCCAAGAAAGAAGATTCAAGCTAAGTAGAAAAAGGAGTAGGTAATTTTCTATTCCTTTTCTTTAAAAGAACATGCTAGTATGTTTGTGTTATACCTTGTATCCATGATCTTGTTCATCATTTTTACATAATTTCCATGTCCGAAATGTATAAATCCCAACAGAGGTCTTGCCTCTCATTAAGCATCTATTATTCAATACTACCTATTAGCTCCTATGTTCTTGCTCTTAAGAATTGTACACCTTCGTCGTAGCTCTAGTCTCCAATTAGACTTCGGTAACCCTTGCTCCCCTTAGCACTCACTAAATAGCCTTTTTCAGCCTTACTGACTTGAGTGGCGGAGTGCCTATGGCAGACATCACACCGGTGTTTTACGTAAGCTTCGCACTTGTTTCTTTATGTGTGTAGGTTCAGCAGATCACAGTGGCCTCAACCTCACAAGATCAGTTCTTTTTCGTAACCGTAGATTTTTACCATCTATAGTTTGGCGCCCACCGTGGGGCCTTTGAAAATCAACCTTCCTTCAACAATCTGCTCGACAAAGAATCACGTCATGGTTGAAACCACAAACAATGCCTCAGCAGACCTTAGAGCTAAGGTCAAGGCCCTTACTGTGTTAATGCAACAACACTCAGACAAGGTCACAGTTTTGGAAGTCAAGAACGCCAACATCCAGGTTGAGAACCAAACCCTACAGGAAAAAGTAACTCAATTCTACTCTCTCGATTTCCTATTCAACCAGGTGCCAAAAAACCTTTTTCAGGTCCCTGTGAACTCCATGTAACCTCTAATGACCCCAGACCTCAGATCCTCGGCTTCAGACCCTCAATCTTCCCAACTCTAGTCATCTTTAATAGATGGCTTGGCTCCAACCATAATAAACACATCCAACCCAGCCATGCAAACATGACCCCTCTCAACTGACCAATCACTCACCCTTGATCCAATCACTCAAATAATCCCAAACCAGCGATTACAAACATTCGCCACCATTAGCCAACCCATTCATCTAAATGTGAGTGACACACTCTATTACCAAGTTCCACTCGGCTCAACTCATCCACATAGGTTGAGTGGACACCCTTACACCTATCACCACTCGACTCCACTCACCATCATGGGTCGAGTGGCCCCCAAACTACCCCATTCACCATCCATGCTGGCCAAAGCACACGAACAATCACACTCGACTCCACTCCTCCAAAAAGGATGAGTGGAGACCCTAGCTCCCAAATAACTCTCCATGCTGGCCATAACCCCCATACCTCACCTCTGAACTTAGCTCATCCTAGCATGTCGAACGGACAACACCTTCACCACCACACCATCAATGCAAACATTTCATCAATCACATTACCCCTTGAGCAAGTATTGGCTAAAAAGTTAGCCGACATGGAAGCCATGCTAAGGTGTATACCTAGAGTACCAACCCTAGCCAAGAAAAGCCTACCCTATAGCTATGTCAACTCACCT